TTGGGTCGCTAGCGTTTCCTTTTAAAATACCACACATCTTCATGTGTTGCAGTGTCCGAGAGCCTAACCAAGTGAGCCATGGTAAAAAAAGGTAGCACAGTCAAATAACAGCTGAACATACAGCAAAATCCTTGCTTTGAGCTTTGTTTGCCTTCAGAAATACTATGTCAAGTGTTCTTATTTAAATGAAGCTTAAAGTGGAAGCACTTGTCTTAGGGATGCCACAGTGGTTCCTGGGTGTATAATGAACTTGTTAAGAAAATGGCTGGCTGATTTATACTTTGTTGCCGATATGAAAAAACCTCACCAGCACATGGGGCTTTAGTGTTAACTGTGAGGGTTTTTTCTCCTCCTATGCTGCCCCTGTCCAGTTTCTGATGTGCCACACACCAACAACACCCTCCCCCCCACCAAGGCAGCCCATCTCCATCCACTTAGACAGGGTCTAGGTGCTGGAGGAGTTGCATGGTTCTCGGCATGGAACCAGCATCAGTGTCTGCCTATTTGAAAAGTAATCAGGAATCCCAAAATGCCTCATTACATCTCTACTGTCATCAGGTATCCTGCCAACTTTTCTATGTCAATATACTTTCTGCTGGTGGTGTCAACAGAAGGAAATGCAGGAAGGTAAGATGAACTCTTTCCAAATTAGGGAATGCCCTTAGAAACTTGGGCTTTTAGAAACTTTATCTAGAGGAATGGAGCTTCTGTGGGGCAGCAAATTAAATGGCTTTAGTTATGTGCTCAGCTTCTTCTGGCACAAACCCTAAAAGCCTGAAATCTTCTGCTAGTCTGTATTTTGGTGATGCGTGCTCTTAAACCAGGGGCTAAGTTAGAAAGATGCATTAGAGGTGGCTCAAAGCCAGAAAAGGACTTGAGCAACGCTCTTCTGCACTGGACCAGATCTAACTGAGAGTCAACACAGGCACCATGCACAGTATTTATGAATATGCCAGTCAAAGGAGCTCAATTTATGCATTTATTTCCAGTAATCGTGTAACCATGTACCTAAACAAGCGTGTATGCCTCTATGCTTTTACATTATGGAGCAGTTTTAGAAAAGTAACTGTATTTACTGTATTGAAGCGTGGCCTGTATTTATCTGGCATTGGCTAAAACCTTTTTTTGTGCGTTGGTCCCACAGAGATGTTATTGCATGAATCCACGCCGTAGGCTTTCTTGACATTTGCTGAATCATCTCATTGTGGTTATAGACTTCATGTCGGCATTCAATGGCCATTACTGTGAGCCAATGTAGCTTTTCTCAGGTTAGATTTTTTTCACTGAAGCCTGACTTTGTCAGAGTCTTGTGTGAGCAGTGTTTGTGGTTTCAAAATGTCCCTTCAGTAACTTGCTGTGTAACAGAGCTAGACTGTATCAGCTATTGCCATTTTTGTGTCACACACAGGGACCTTCAGGGCACTAAAATAACATCAGAATAGTCCCCTTCTCTTGTTCTTGTAGGCAGACTCAAAAAACAACTGCTGAAAAAGGCCTTCCATCCTTCCAGTAGAGCGGGGAGATCCCAACTCTGCAGGCTTTGCTAAACTGCCCCAAAACCAGAGATTCTTGTAACCTTTGTAAATCAGGCTTTGGGAAGTGAACAAGCGATTTACATTTACAAAGAAAGATCCCACAATATTTTCTTTTAAACTGGTCAATTTAGTGCTATTAGCTTGATATTAGTAATGATGCTTGTATGCTATATGCATTTAAGTGGTATAAACGTGTCTTATTGACTGTACATGGGATTAAAAGAGATACCTATATCCAGTCTATACAAACCAAGGGGAAACATGAACAAAGGCTTAACTATGATTAGGCAAAGAGTTCCTTTCTATAGTTTTATTTCCTTGCACTAGCCAAGTGGCTTTAATAATTTTGCCTGCTGTCTGGGTTTTGGCTCTGACCATTCACTGTATACCAAAATTGAATTAAATTGTGAAAATTAAACACACTTTTAATCTTGCTATTGGAAATAAAATTAAGTACCTTGTCAAAATTAATTTTCCATGGAAGGAGGAATTTTTTACCTCAAGTGAAAGGTTGATTTATAGCTTGCAGTATAGTAAGTGGCATCTGTTTATATATGTTACAATTTTTCTGAATATTTTAATAAGTTGGTAATTTGCAATGAACAATAATGCCACCTTGTGCTTTTTCAGAGAGCTTTAGCTTTAATTACGGGATTTTTGTGTTTCTATTTATTCTTTTTAAAGAAGAATAACCTTTTTAAAGCACTTTTCACGATAGGTGACATTTTCTGTTATGAGAGAGTCACTGCAACAATTATAGACCATGATCTTCAGCTATAGAGCAAATTTCAATTCTTATGTGAGGGCTGATGTTAATCCACACTAGACCTGTGCCTAGACTCTGTATTTCATGTGATATCTTGATCAATGTTGGGTGCATAGTGTATGGATCCCTTCTCAAGAATTGGTATGCATTTTAATGGACTTTTGTCTGTTTTAAGCTGGATGTGTCTAAAAAGCAAAACCTAAACTCATAAAAATCCATTCTACAAAGTATTGGTCTCACTTTATGAAGAAAGTACAGACACTGTAAATTCCACTGGCACACTCATAAAAATCCATTCTACAAAGTATTGGTGTCACTTTATGAAGAAAGTACATACACTTGAAAATACAGACACTGTAAATTCCACTGGCACGTGTACTCAGAAAAAAAGGGAGTCTGGAACAATAAGCAGAAGAATTTTTTACTATTAAGTATTGGTGTCTATGTGTGTTCCTTTGCCAGTAGCGAGGGTCAGATGTTGGCCAGTCCAACTGCTGTGGGCTTTGGTTTGGCTAGAAGTGGTACCCAGAATACCAGGAGATCCTGATTGTATTTAAAATTGTGATTCCAGTGGGACCAGGATTATACCCTACTCCCAGCATACAGCAACGCTTGCTGGTGTGCTGCTTGAGCACAGGAAATAACTAATGGAAAAGATTTCAGTGTCAATATACTGGAAAATGGCATCATTCTTTGTAACGAATGCATGTTATAAGCATAGTATAGATGGATTTAGTTGAAAATGAATGCTTTGTAGTAGTCATAGATTTCAGTGAGATCAGAATTTTGTTCATGTGGACGACGATTTTTTGTTTTTAAATCCTACTGATTGGAAAAGAAAAATTCCTACAGACAATGCTATGGCACAGGAGAGTGTATCCTGCACTGCCTGCCGTGGTTTTAAATTGGAGGATTAAAAACATCCATTGTTCATTTCCATTAAATCTTGAGCTCCTTACTTGGTTTTTATATCACCAGATCCCATTGATTTTTAAATGGACTAATCCAAGATTATCAGAAGGAATGATGCAAGTCTTCATCTGCATTGGTTTATAAATCCTTATGCTGATATGTATGTTTTTGGAAGCAAGAGTCTCAGAATAGGTCTCAAAACATCATTCCCTTTGCGTTATGCTATAAGGACTATATTGGGAGGGTGCAGAATTAATAGCTAATTTTACACACTGGCTCTATTTTCACCGAAAAGAATCCCTTAAGCTTCATGAATACTACATACCAGTTCCGTAAACTCTAAACACCATCACTCGCCACCAGCTGAAGGTGCTACTGACTGGAAACAGCAGGGTCCAGTCTGGTGTAATACGAGGATGTATCCAACCTTTCAGGCTCCAGACCTGACTGGTAATTGTCTGTCTTGGTCCTGTCTCAGTCCAGCTCCTAACGAGAGCAGTGGGAGTTTCAACTGAGACAGCCTTCAGGATTTGGCCTATTTAATTTGTGACAAACATCACAATGGCCTTTTGCCTGCCAAATCCTCAGGGCTCGCTTCTTTGGAAGAAAAAAAATATTTTTGTTGGGCTATTTTTTCCCAAAGTGAATGCAGGTAATTATTTTTGGTTACATAGTGCAAACACATTGGTAGTTAAAATTTACACCTGTTTTGAACAGTAGAGAGTATGCATGCATGTGTGTGTGTAAAACACAACCATAAAGACTAGTTTTCTGTAAAAGCTGTGATACCTTTAGTTATACTGAATAGAGCACTGCGGTGTGAATAGATCCACTGGCATCTCTTTAGTAAGATGGTGCTAAGGGGAAGGGTGTCATAGTAATGGTCAAATACGGACCAAATATAACTGTCAGTGCAAAAAAAACCCCTGTCATTTACGAAAAATGTTTTTCTTATTTTACTGTTGAGAATACTAAGCAGTGACTGGAATTTGTGCCCAAAGCACATTAAAGTTTAGGTTCTCTGAGGCACTTCCTAAATCACAATTTTCAAACCATTCATCCAATTGACTTGATATAAAAACAGGTTTCAATACGTTAGAAATGAGAATAGCGATCATTAAATCATTCGGGGGATGTTAAATGGCTCCATTAGTACAAAGGCAGCCCATACCTTTGCAGTGAGTTGGTACTGTATTGTCTGTGGGAGGTGTCAGGAGAGTCTGACTTTATGACACTGCTACCATCTCCAAGACCTTTCAGGAAAAGCTAAAAACTGAGGTTCAATTTCCTGTTTTGGCATTAGCAAGCTACTTTCCTACAGCTCTTGTGAGGAGGTCAGTGGTCAGTTAATAATTTTGAGACTTTGACTCCAGTGGGAAGATAAGGAAGTTCAGAACCCTGAATTAAAAATCTGACCTATGATGGTTCACACTGAAGAGCAAAATGGACAGACTATTACCTTTTCTTTTAAATCCAAACATACCTCTCTACTCTTCTTTGCAGGACAATGGTCATTGAATATGTTCATGTGTTCCTTACGTTTGGTGCTGGGAAAGGATGAGTCCCTGCAGGAGGAGAGGGCTGGAGCATTGTTTGCAGGGACAGACTGTATAATCCGATGAATTGTGTTGCTTTGAGGAAGGAGGCACACCAGCAACCCATGTGCTGGTGATTCCACTGATTTACTCTTCACCCTGCACGGGCCTAGCACCCTCAACCCAACCAGCAGATCACCCTGACCAGTATAAATGCAAAATGGTTTACTTGGTTTTAAGAAAAAAATGAAATCACATGAACATTATGTTTATTTCTCCAGTAGAATCTGTTTCTTTCACAGTCTTTCAGTTGCTTCTTTTCTGAAGAGTGAAGTCTTTATTCCAGACATCTGCCTATAGAAAATAAGTTGTTTTTTTTAAAGGACACATTTAAAGATGAAAAATGAGGCTTGAATGACTTAATCAGCATACAAATTACACAGATATAAAAGTTCTCTTTCATTGTCTTAACTTACAGTTTATTTTGTACAGAATTCATTATGTTATACATCTAAGACTTACTATATTGTATAAATATCTTGGGTGTGATGTATATACATATTCAGTGTTATAGATTCAGCAATTAATGTATGCATTTCACAATACACTATAGTGTATTTCAATGTAGTGCACATGATTTATATTTCAGAAAAGAGCATATCCGCTATGAAAACTTGGTATTTCATTCATAGAGTACTCTACCTTGAAATACAGGGGGGGGTTCCATTATATAATGGACTGTTTGTATTGTGTCGTATGGCTGTAAGATTTTCTTGTACATTCCCCAATATGAATTAAGAAACAGCAGCTCAGTACGTTAATATATGTGGTTCTACATCAAGAGGAGAGCAGGGCACTGATTTCCTAAGGTCTTAAATGAGAACGAAGGCATAGACAAGCCACATGGGACGAGGGTGTGTGTGATGGCCAGATGAAATTGAAAGTTCTGCACAGATGAGAACTACTGGCTCTTGCTTCTCCATTCTCTGTATATCAGTGTTCAGCTGCTGTAAATCACTCCGCTCTGATTACACGAGTTGAGGGTCTGGCATCAGCTTTATCTTTAAAGTCTGCAAACTCCCCATGTTCCATTAATCCACTCTTTCTTTACTTACAGAATGTTTCTGGGCGTCTCCTGGTATATGTATTTGTACTACATACTGTCTTTCCTTGAGAGCAGGCAAAGAAACTCACTCACAATGTCTTTTCTGTACACGCCAGAAGTAAGATGTGCTGTTTCTTCAATATTAAATTGCAGGTGTTGCTTTCCTGGGCACCTACTGAAGCATAATTCTAATTAATCTGTCACTATCGTTTCCATTTTCTGTTTTAGACAATTCCAGTTTCCTGCATACACACACACACGCAAACATGTTGTGCCTTTTGATCGTTTGGCTACCTTTGCTTTGTAATCTCAAAAGCAGAGATTCTTTCATCAACGTATAAATGCTGTTTATTTAACAGCAAAGTGGAATATTATATATTCCATGAATAAAAGCCTTTCTTGTTTAAAGGAGTCATTGAAAAAAATGTAGCTTAATCAGAAAATTGTCGGTTTAAAAAATAATTTTAAATTAAATTTACTTACATATAAAGTCTGTCATCATTTTGAAACTAAAATATGAGATTTCATTAAAAGAGGACTTATCAACTCAGAATTATATTTTGCATCAAATGTATTCATATAAACTCTTTTCCTTTTGATTTTATTAGAAGTAGCACAAGCGGTTAAACTAGCATAAATCCAGAACTGCACTTTATTAGTGTTATCTGAGTTATACTGAGATTAGAATTCTCTCTTCCTGCTTCTTTTATTTTCGTATTGCTATTTTTCCATATAAGAACTTTCACGTAACAACATGTGATGTGAAACAAAAAGAAAGGTTATATGAATCTGCAGTTGTAGATTTTTTTTCCCCTCCCATTGCCTGATTTGGGGAGGGGTCTGGATTTTTGTGCACAGCTGTAGCCAATTCCATTGTTTGGCTGATCACCAGTAGTGGCTGTACTCCTTCCTAATGGGCTGTACTTGTAATTTAACTTTGGGATAGATATGAGTGTGATGCTCATGACTGCAGAAGTCACAACTCTAAAAAAGCCCCACATTGAGCTACTGAGCCACCTAAGAACTTCATTGAAGAACATCACGACCATGCTGACAGGGCCAGGACTTTACCACCCTATGGTAAATAACACACAGACCCCAGCTATCTGTAAGGTTCTACTCCAGAGTGTATTTTAAATACATGCTTAGTCAAACACCAGAATGGAAGTATTTCTGGTCTAACACTAACAGCCCTCAAACCCTGCATTTATAACTATTTTCAGCAGCAACATCTGAAAGCACCAGGGATTTGTGAGCCACATGGCAAGTAAATGCTGAAAACGCCTGAGGTCTCCTTTGGTGGCTTCTAGCACTGCGTGTAGGACTGTCCTTCCTCCACACACTAGTGTGCAGCCTGAACATACAGCCACTGGTAGGTACTATGGACAACCAGGGATTAGACCTCAGGTGCAAGTTTGGGACTCAGCAATGTGACAGTAGAGAGGCAGCCTGACTTGGTGATCCTCCGTCTTACAAGCCATAGTCCTTGAAGGGTAATTTCCTCAACAAGTTAGTGAAGGTGTTGCCTTCTGTTCCCCAGGAATGGGTGAGAAGAGATCTCAAGTCCCTCAGCACTGACTAGGGATGGAGTTCAGCAGCTGCTGGGGTAATTAGCAGAACTGGGGCCACACTGAAGAGGTGGGTCATGCAGCCCAGTACCCTGCTGTGAGATCATAGCCTGGCTGGTAAACTGGTGGATATACATTCATTAAAACAGCTGTGCTGTTGCCCTCCCCAGCTGCCATCAGCAAGTTGTTTCCTCTGATTTCAAGACTAAATTTATTTGTGATTGTTTTATATTCATTTACTCTTGTGCAAACAATATGCTTGGTTTGTGGCTGGGCTAAATACAAAAGAACATGTTCGGAAGAGATGTTAAATTCTAAAAAGGGATTTTTATCTTGTTAGTAATAAGGATCATAGTAGGAATTAATGTTTCCTTATGAGGTCTGGATCATTTAAAGAGGAGGGAACATTTGTTAAACAACCCAAGATTTCATTTGACACACAAGTGCTGCATCACTTACGAAACAGAAGCATCTCTGTGGTCTATTATTTTATCTACTTAAAATTAGATTATAACAGATGCCATCCCCTCACTATGCACTGCAGTGCCAGCAAACTTAAGTCTCTGATCACTTACATAAGCCTGGTGTCCTCACTTTCTGGTCTCACCATTAAAATGACTGTATTTTGCAGCAGCTATATTAAATATGTTCCCAGTTGTGGATTAGGATCCAAATGCAGAATTTCCCATAGTTACGGTTGCCTGACAAAATTCAAATCCTATCTTGAGCTACCTAAAAGATGGGAACTATGGTACGTACAGCAGTTGTAATTTGGATATTGTGTATATTGCACAGGATCCATCACAAGAACATGTGCTTTATTGTTTTTGTTAAGTATTATGTAGATTCAGTTTTTTTCTCACTGTAATTTTCAACTTATGTCAGTCATCCTTCAGTAAAAAAATACATGTAAAGCATATGAAATGGCAGTTTTGAATCCCCAGCATGTTTTCCTTGTTAAAATCAGGAATAGTCACATCCAGTGTGTCTTTTCTTTCCTTCTTCATTTTTTAATGAAGCATAGTGTAAGGATTTTCTCTTTAATGGCCTTATGGTCAGTGATGTTTTAGAGAAGATTTGGGGCATTAGCCGTTGAGCATGGACTTCTTTACCCTGCTAAACTCTACCATCAATGTATTAATTAATACAGAGTAACAGTGACTCCAAGCCTTTGCTTATTTTCTAGGAAATTTCCTTCCTATTTTATGCACTTCAATACCATATTTGACTTTCTTATTCTGATAAAAATGTTTACTGTCAACCAAGCTGCTGTTTCAGCAAAGCATTTTCCTTTAAAGTATGTGCTGTTTTGTTGCAGGTTACTTTTTCATGTTAGCAATGACAAAAGTAAACCCAGGGCTACTCCTTGGTTTTTATTTTCCAGGGTTTATTATTGTATTTACAGTTCCCTGTAAGAAGATACAACCCTTTCCCAGTAAGAGTCCTAAAACCTTTCTATGTTTCAAATACTAACGACTCATATACCCATACGGAAAGGAGAAAGATAATCAGTGATGACGTAGGTATCTCTAGGGGCTGATGCAGATGAATAGAAAACTTAAATCATTATAAATATTACTGTACTACACTTTGGTACAACCAAAAAAAAAATACCTTCAAATAAAATATTTAATGTTCCCTAAGTCAAATAAAATTCATAAACAATAGGAAATTAACCACATGGGGATTTTTATATCTGTAAAAAATAATAAGACTACTTGGCCACATTGCACATAGGCAATAAAATTAGATTCATTCAGATCCCTTTTAATGTAAGCCTCGTTTGAGGCTGTAAGCAAGAAATGTCCACTGTGCTTTACAAAGGACGACGACTAGAAAAATCAATGCAAACAAATATCCCTTTCTTTTCTGATTTACCATTTATCATGAGAGATGACAAACAAATGAAGTCTCCTCTGAGTCTGAGCGTAGTTGTATTAGCATTTTGCTAGTACCAGGCAGTATACAAAAACAGCCATCGCGTGTGACACCTCCAACACCTACAGGTAGCTGTTTTAGGGGCACATCCTGGTTTGCAGTGAAACAGGTTTACCTCAGCCAGCCTCTTGTACCTGCTCAGTGATATCAGGTTATCATCTCAGTAACTCCAAGGTTGGACTGTCTTGTTCCTATTGCTGACTGGACTGACTGCTCCACCATCCATAAACAGAAGGCATAAAGGTGATTACAAACATAAGAAAGTAGTTTTACATATTGTCTTGCAGTCTTTCCATATAGTCCCTAAGTTCCTTGGAATCACCAAGATTCATATCTTGGCATACCCATTTAATATTATCATCACTGTCAAATAGAATTGAGTTGGTGTAGGGGCCTCCATCCTCCGGCAGTATTGTTGTATATGAAGTGAACTTTACTCGCTTCTGCTTTGGCCCAGAATGATTTATAGGTTCACTTTTAACTTCTTTTTCACAAAGATACTCAGAAGATCTGAGGATATGATTATGAAGAGTCTTCTGAGAACTCCCATTAAGGAGAAAGTTGCTTTCTTCAAACTGCATTCCTCTGTCGATCATGGTAGTGCACTCCTCTGATGGGAGCGAAATGTCAACTGGGTTTTCCAGCAGTTCAACCTCATTTCCAAGCCAGACCCAATCATGGGAATGGGGGATGTTGCCTTGCTCACTCACAGCAAACCTTTTATGCCTGTACTTCCAAGCAAATGCCACGCAGTTAATCAAAAAGACCAAGATTGCTAAGCAGAAAACACACAGCAGGGCATACATGCCAATCTCCAAATCTGTTAATCCTCTTGACGTCAACGTGAGATCACCAGGATTGTTTTCTCCTGGTATTTCTACTTGCGTAGGGAAACCTGTGAAGGCAGTTGGGTTATTTTGGAGCTGGCCATCCTCCAGGGACTCCTGATCAATGGGAGATATGAAAGTTGTGCTTTTGTTTGCATTGTCCTCATAACTGGACATGTCCTCGTGGTTTTTGGACCATTCCTGTGCTGTCCTCTCTTGTTCTGCAGATTTCTCTATTGAATTGCTTGCATGGCTTTTAAAATCTCTATCCATATCGTCAATGTCATTAGTGCTTCCTTTTTGGTCAGAATCTTTTTGACCAAACTTCACTTTGACACTTCCTTTCCCAACAGCCAGAATGCTCTTCCGCTTAGTCTTCTGACACGGCTCACTGATCACCATTTCAATTTTAATCAAAGGTCCTTGCCCGTCCCCCTCCGCCACTACCCCAGGCCATTTGGACTGAAGGTTTTGGTGTGCAGACACGACCATCTCATCCAGTGAAGTGATGGTGATTGAGAAGTCCTTGGAGTCATAGATATCTAATGGTGTCACTGACCCATCACTGAACAGAATCCAAGCACTGACTATGGCTTCCTGAGGAGAGAAAGGATGAGAAAAAAAATAAGTGAAAAGTATGAGCGCGTATATCAGACACTCAGTTGTTTAAATCTGTTTGACATTGGCAAAATACAGTTTAGCTTTGGTTTATTTTGTTTTTTAAAAAAAGAAAAGTCTACTCTGTAGACCATTTAGGCATTTATACCACCTTCAGGACTTATCAAAGACATTGCCATCTAAATTTAATAAAAGCTGCTGACAAAAAGAAAAAAGGACAATTCTTTTTTTTAGTCTGAAGTGAGAAGCCTCTTTTGAATGATGAAAATAATATGTCCAAAGTCCTGGTTAATTAATTTTATAAAGGACCTATAATAGGGAATTTCTTTAATAGTGCATTTCTGCTGCCATATTTAATACTACATGCAGAGCTGTTTATGTGTCAGAATGTTGATCCCATTCAGCCCATAGAAGCAAACTAGGTTAAGAACACATCTCAATGCAAGATTTTAAATTTTCTGTCATGCTTTCAAATAGACAAGATTATGTGGAATATACGAAAGTGATTGTAGTCTTTTCTGGGTATTATAGAAACACTCACAAAAATGCCGTTTTTAAAGATGTTTTGACCAAAATAATTGTCTTCTTACCGCAAATTGCTAGTGCTAAAAAGATAGTTACTCTTTCTCTAGTGATATGTCTCAGTTCTATAAAATATACAATAAAAAAGATATATGTGATTTATTCTGTGGTCACATGGAAAGCTACTTAATTCCTGAGATTATCTGGTTCAAAGTAAGCACAAACTCATCAGATTTCAGCAATGCAGATCATGAAAACTTCTGTACAAGCAGCCAAAAGGTCCTTTTGGCTGAACAGACGTTGTGAGACTATTAAGGCTTCTTCCTCTGCTTACATAAATAGGCTGTGTTTTCCCATAGAAAAAGTGTTGAGTGGCACATGCTTCCTACAAGCATCACACGTGCACAGGCGTGTCCATCCTTTCCCTGGGCTGTCCAGGTCTCCAGTCTAGTTCTGAAGAGTTTAATGGTCAGTCTGTTTGCACCTCTAGGAGTTGGTCAGTAAGATGAACAGCCCTTGCTATATGGCTTTGACAAAGCCATACATTGTATGTGCTGTCTAAAATTTACAGCTTTTCCCTAGCTTCTGACAAGGCACAGTAAACAAGTAAGTTAATTCTATGTAATATTTTGGATCATACCTGTTTGGGACTATGAAGGATATCATATGCAGAGGTGGTAGAAACGATTGCTCTCTTATTTCCTTTGCTGATTTGTAAGGAGACGGACAAGCCTGAAACTAGTTGCACTCCTAGATCTGTAATGGTTACACGGTCATCTAAAACTATCACTGTCTTCTCTGCCAAGATGGAATCGGAAAGAGGTGACAGAACCTTGAAAGAGAAAGCAGACATCTTGCATGAAACAGCAATGAACTGTGTTGTAAAGCAAGATTAGATTCTAATCGGCATAACACTTCAGATTAATCTTGGGTTTGTCACATCTATGTATAAGCTATAATTGATGTTTCCCCAAAGACATTACATTCATTTGCTGCTAAATTACTTTATTTACAAAATAATTTAATAAAACAGCCACTCACTTCAAAATTACAGCTTCATCTCAACAATGGAGTATAGATTAAATTACATGGATTTTTTTTTTTTAAATGTCATATTTGTGTTGTCTGTAAATGAATGTAATATAGTACAAGACATAGTGTAAGACACTGATTAGCACTGAAACTCACTAGGGGAATAAATAGGTGTACAAAGCCTGGCTGATAGGAACTTGGCCTGCTGCCTTTATGGGGACAGAGGACCTGAATGAAATGAAAGTGAGATTTGCAGAAGGACTCTGAAAATCTTACTGGGTGCCTGCCCATATTTTTCAATGCCAAAATAGTCCTGCCAGTTTGCTCTAAGACCTTGTTTCTAACATGTTCAGAAGGAGACAGTCATCTTTCTAGTTATGCCAGAAACAGCTGTTTCAAGCCCAAAGTATTTGAGGTGCGATTTGTCTAAACTAATATGAGCAATGTACAGTGAAGCTCCTGCATCGGAGCTATCTGCCTTCTGCTCTTTCATAGTCACTGGAGTGAAAGAGGCATTTTAAGGGCAGAAATCCCTTGACCTCTTTGGGATGTTTGTTTTAGGCTGAAAGGAGCTGAGCCCTAAAAGTGTCTGTTTCTTTGTGTTGACTACAAGGTACATTTAGTATGACTGCAACATTATGAATGTTTGCAAATAAGGAGAGTCCCAATGCTTGTATTCCTGTATTTTGATTAAGAAATATTCATGAAGTTAGACAGAGAGACAGGTAGTGAACATGAACACTGAATATTATTTTTGTGCCCATTTTTTATGTTTCATTTTGTGAACATAAAGGGACTAATTTTTCAAAGACGTTTAAGCCTATAAAGATGTATGTAGATCTTTGGTAAAATTTCCTAACAGTTTGGTTCGTAAGGTCCCACTTCAATTAAAAGCAGCTAGTTGTGTGCATCATGTAACCTGTTCAGAAAACCTCACTGTGCTGCTAGTCACATTAACATGGATAAATCCCTTCAGATATTTCACCTAACAGTATTTTACAGAAGTGACAAATATTAAAAATGAAAACCCATTCAGACTTCCTTTAATGTTTAGCATATAATTTTTTTTCAGCTTTTTTTTTTTTTTTCTGAAAGCAATTAATTTTATAAGCTAACTAGCTATTGTGTGTCCATCCAGAACTCTTTCTACGGAAGCTGCAGAGACATCTCAGGCTGTACCTGGACTGTGGTGATGCCTTGCTCGCGACCAACCAGAACTCGGCCATCTTGAAGCTTAGCAATCTTGGGTTCTTCTACCTTCATGAAATCAGTCACAAGGTCAGTGATGTCAAACTGCCACTCAGAGCCTAGCATGTAGGTCAAGTGGCCTCCAAGCTCAGAGGATTCAGCTACAAACTGTGTGAGGACTCGCACCATGGCGTGCTGATACTGGAGGGTACAACCTTTTCCTTTTTTCTCATCATCCTCTTCGTCCTCACTGTCACGGGTAGGCCTGTAAATAGATCCAGGTTAGTATCTGCATTGCCATCGTCTCCCTACAACACTGCAGAGCTTCAGTTGCATCATATTTTCAACTGGATTAATATTATCATCATCTGCTACTGTGTGAGAAACAGGGAACCGCATTTTGGGTGTGTTTGGATAGGTTACTAAGATCTGAGGGAGATGCTTGTACAGCCTTTTTGTGCTGTACAATTTAAAAGCTACTGTCACTTCTGTTACTGGATTCCTGGTTTGAGTGGGACCTCCCAGCAACTTATAAATATGTCTGCCGCTGCAGAGATTTCAGTGGAACCACTGCTTGTTCACCGTGTCTCCAGGCAGTAGTCAAATCTTGCAGAGCGCTAAGGAAAGCAGTGAAATGTTTATGAGAGGGCAGCTCTGGAACAAACTCCTGTAGTGGCTCAGCAGGGATGGGAGAGGATGTTTTAGCATCCTTTCCTCCACCTTTGTGGAGGAACATAACGTTTGCCCATAACATTTGTATCACTTTGCTCATCTCTTCAGAAACTATTCTAACACATTTGGGTTTCCCTGCGTAGGTAGTGCCACCCCACCTTTTTCCACATCTGTATCTCATTAAGCCCTCTGCATGTGAGAAATATACCATGATTTCACCTTAAATCATCTACAGTTCATGCAAGTGTCTGGTATATTTAGTCATGTAATGACCACATGGGGCTTTCAAGAAACCAAATGAAGCACTTAATTTACCTCTCAGGCCATCCATTACTCAGGTGTACAAACACCATGCTGGACTGGTGGGACTCCCACTCACCCCACAGAAACAGCTGCAGCATTACACACACTTTCTTTAACATTTTCAATCTGTCCTCCTTGCAAATCTAACCCTTGACAATATAACAGCTTCCCATAAAACTTAGGTAAGGCATCACAGTGATTTGTATATGATAGCAGTGGTGTCACACCTCACAGAACTTTGATTTAAAACCCAGCTTCCCATCAATTCTTCTTTTTTGTTGCTATTGTTTATTCCTTGGGACCCACACGTGGATTCTTGTGTCTCTTTCAAGTCAGGGATTAAGCACTGGGTGGTCACGCTTTTACTCGTTATGCCCCTATGCTGAGGAATTCATTGCTCAGAAATAATTTGCCTTCCTCCTTCACTTATTTATTGGGCCTGAAGCCACCTCCTTCGCAAGGTGGGAAATACAGGGTAAGCCTCTTATTTTTCACAGTATTTTGGGAAGTAGCTTTGTGTTTATTGTGTTCTTTTATTTATTGTGTCCTTTGAAATACCAGCTATGAAAAACTATTATAAAATAGAATTGCTTTTGTTATAAATTGTTTTATGACAAAGTTGGCAAAGAGTAAGCTGAAAATGTAGCTAAGAAAAGCCCTTACACTCTTCAAAATGATAGAAAGTCCTGGTGTTACAGAATCTAATACACTGGAAATACATTTTCAATGTATCAATTGTTAGCTGAAAATATATATATTCCACCTCAAGTAAATGGTATTTGGTACAGCCTTTTTTGGTTTTGTATGTGTAAAACGACAGTGTCCATCAGTAGTTGCTGAATGAAACATTATTGAATAACAACTGAGTTGTTAAGAAAAAAGCAGGATCCTAAAATAGGATTTACATTACACAAAGAAATAAGTCTTACAGAATTAGACTAGCTGGATATTTCAGGGAAATTTTCAATTGTTGTCTCCTTCCCAACACAAGTGTTAATCTGGTCTTTGCCAGTCAGCAAAACAGCAGCAAGGAGAGTACTAGAAGGGGGATATTCATAAAGCTTATGTGGCCCGTGCCTATTTAGGTTGCTTTATAATGCTAAAAAGATCTTATGAACTCTTTAACATACCCAGTTCCAATTTGTTCCTGTATCCTGACCCTCTTCAGCTCATCTAAGCCATAACATAGCTCTGAATAATCTCAGACTTTGGGAAAACCAGGTGTAGTTCTGAGATTTCAGAATTTAACTCTCTTTTAGTAATACAGACAGTACTACTAGTGCCCATGCAGAGCTGGAGAAGAATGCGCAGGAGCTATTCAGGTAAGAAGTACTTAGGGGATTTGGGGGAAAAGAGCCACAGAGCCAGTGGGAACCAGTTTTCCTATGGGAAAAGAGACACAGAACCGGTGTTCTGTGGCTTGAAGAAAAATGTTCACATGTTCAACGTTCACCTCAACTTACTGTTTTTTTGCAGAACTCTGTTTTCTGTTTCTGTGCCGTATGCAGATGTTTTACTCAGTTCCAGTGTGTTACTGTTACTATTTATTTCTGTGCTCATTTATTTCTACTTTCTCTGTTTCAAACTTTAGCCTATTGGACTGTTCAAGAGGAATAATATTCAAAACAGCTTTCAGAGAAAGAACTTCTCAACCCTAGTCCCATCCAGCTCAGAAATGTGAGTTGTGGGAAGAATGACCAGAGACAAGGAATGTTGCACAGAGGGAGCGCTCCCGCCCGTATCTCCAGGCTTCTGACTGTATGGGCAGCCAGCACTATCAATCACTAAAGGATGATTCAGGTCCAACTCTTTCCTTGTGGTATCTCTAACAAACAAAGGTAAGGGCTACATTTCCCTACAAAAACATTTACAGGTGTTTTTATCTTTATGGTTCTTCATAGAAATGCATGGTTTCTATTGCATGAAAATGTGGAATGTCAGAAAAGTATCCCTGAACCGTGGAATGGACAAGGCACTTTCTTATGTCAGTGCACATTAAAAAGAGAGGTGTTTGGATTTTCAATACAAGCCTTGCAAGTCTGCTTTACCAGGTACCAACTCAAGTTTATTCTTTTTTTAAACAGATGAGACCCATTTCCACTTCAAAGCCACAAACCCATGATTCAGTTAGTAAGTCAGAGCATTTCAGTTTTTTGTCTCTATGGGCCCAGCAAAATGTCTGAAATCACTGAATTGCATAGTTCCCTTCTGAGTCTTAAACTTCTTGTTATAGTGTTTTCAGTAGGCTTAAAATTCTTCGTTAAACAGTGAGCTCATTTTCTTTTTAAGACATATCTTCACAAATATAAACTATTGCTGCACATTGTGCTTTCTTTCCCCTTGTTTATCTCCGAGGTTAGCTCTGGATATCTCCCAGAGTCCTTCTTATCCTATTTCTTGCTTGTTGGCAAACTTGCTTGGATGATTTTTTTTCTTTTCTGGAGTGAACCAGGGTTGCCAGAATTACATTTAATTTACATTTTGTACAGAGAAAGCCTTTGCCAGAGAGCAGAGTTAAAACAGCAGCCCAGTTACAAGGGTGCCTGCTGGCGCTGATCTCATCAGTGATCTGTCAACTCTATATTATAGACACTGTCTGAGCAGTTTAAATACGTCTCTTTTAATTTGCACCACACTCAAACCAGGCATCACTTTCTTGGGCCAGATGCTGATTTTCTGTTAAAAAACCCCTACAGAAATCAGTTTTGCTGGTTTTGAATTTGAAATACTCATTAAAGAGTCATGTATTTAAAAAGCATTTTCAACACCTCTAATTGCAAAAAAAATCTATTTTGTATACAAAATATAAGCCACTACAAGTTGATTTAGTGAAAGCTACAGAAATAAGTTGCCCATAGCTCCACTCACAGTTCAAGAAGAAATGCAATTTGGTGCTTTTACAGATCTTGAAAATACAGTCTACCTATTAACAAAAATCTCTATGGCCTTATCTCCATAGGACATTAAAGTCAATTAACTAAATGAGTGAATTTACAGCGTGTTCAAGCTTTGTGTGGATGTTGTTATTCACAAATGGAATGATTTGAATCCAGTTTCACTTAATTTGCCTTAAAGTATGGCTTTATTTCTGAGTGGCAGCATTCAAAGAGAGGTTTCATTAAAGCAGTTTATTTTTTCCTGCATTTGACTTAGGCTAACTTTCCTGCTTTTGTCTCTAGTACTAGACAGGACCAAAGTAGAGCTACCACCTAACTGTTAGTTCATCTGACTGCCCTTCATAAGCAAGACTGTGTCTGGTTTTATAGGTTTTGAAGGTTTATGCTACTCAAAGGTTTGCAGTAATGGCCTTTGTTCAGTAAGGCCAGATGCTGGTAAAAGGCCAGTAAACTCTGTGCCTGGTACTGAAGCGTATGCTGGAGTCACACTGTGTGATGTCTGCTTCCCTGGGAGCTCATGAAAACAATGTGCTTTTCCCAGTTGTAAATATTTACTTAAATTAAATTTCCAGCTTGTTCTGAGAGACTTTAGCTGTGCAGCTCCTGTTAATGCAAGTAGAAGCCACTCATCCCATGTAAATGTATGTGGATAGAGCTAGTGCAGGAATTTCAAGAAGAAGGTAATTTCGCAGATGCACGAGGAATCAAAATAAATGTTCTTGTTAGACTAACAGAGTCTGCCTGGACCTCTTCTATGCTCTAATATTTGACTTTAATTTAAATATGCACCTTTTGTTTGCTGAGATCGTGGGCTTTTTTTTGCAGCCCATTGTGGGAGCAGAGTTCCTGTTAGCCCATGCTTGGAGGACTGTGTACCATGCATTAGTCATGAGTTGATCCATGGAACTGACTTTCATCTGGAAAGGGAGGTTCTTCATATCTGCAGTAGCACACTCCATAGATCAAATTCTCCTCTGGATAATAGTAAAGCTTTGCCATATATTTACAGACTGATCTGGTAATTTGTATTACTGCTCTTACATAGGGGAGATGGATATTTTTTCCCCCCAGTTTCTGGCATAAAAGCAGCCTGTTTTTTCTTTCTGCTCCTGTAGCCAGTTCCTGCTCTTACAGCAGCTCAGATCAGGTGAAAACTGATACAGTTCAAACTGAGGTAAGCATGTGGCATTCCTGAAATTTTTGTAAAGTTCCTGTCTTTTTCATTGCTTTGTGGAGATTATTCAAGAAGTTAGGTAAGCAAACATGTCTGTAATCACATGTAATTTACAATTACAAACATGACAGGGTTTATAGGGAGAAGCAATACATTTTATTAGATCAACAAACATCATTGGAAAGAACAGATGTGATTTGGGGCATATAAATAGTTTTTCAGGTCTGAAATAGAAGCAGCTATATTCAGATATATTCAGAAGAACAGCCATGCTGAGGCAGTAGTTTCACAAGCATTTCTTTTGTTGACAGCACCAATAAAAACATTTAAAAGATTATTGTAAACCCGGTTATGTTTTGCCATCTGGCTCAGCCCCTCAGACAACTGAACCGGCAGAGCCAGGCTGTGGGAAAGAGGCAGAGAGGGAGCTGGAGGAGGAATGTTTGGAGGTTGCTGAAATGTCTCGGCACAATCCCTGTAAGAAATTACCAAAAATTTTACCTTCTGTATAATGATGAATTACTTTATAGCAATGTTTTAGTTCTTGCCAAAAAGACAAGGGAGTAGTGTGAAAGATACCAACCCTAGTGGACAGGAGAAGAGTAGAAAATTGTTCTGTCTATGGGAAGGTGAGGAATGCAGAAGACACAATCCTTCCATGACTAACCCTGAGGACAGTGGTATAGTTTCAGTTGACCTGTGGGCCCTGCATGACTGCACTTAAATTTAAGACTGCCTAAGCCTGTTGGCAGGGACTTCCACAAGAACCCAGAAGTTAGATCCCCTCATCTTTTCAAATTAGTTTTCTTTAACGATGGATATCAAAGACCTCATGCAAATTGGAAATACTGGCAATGAAAAAGAAGTTGAAGCAATACAATGCTATGGCTTCCACAACTGCTAGGAAATGCTTGGATTTGGGGTTCTTAAAAAAGATTAAAGCACTCTTTCTCTTTCAAACGTGTTCTCAGGTATCACACGAGACAACCTTCTCACTGTACAGCACTAACCCTGTGTTATACATACTGGGAGGGCATTGTGGGGAATTACTGGCTGAACCATTGTTCAGAATAAGTGAATGTGGCCTTCTGGCTGAATCACTGAATGAGGATTCAGGAAACCAACCTGCAGCTCCTGACTGTAGTCCAAATCTCTGTGTGCTTCAGGTCACCTTTTAAAAACTCATCATAAAAACTGCCCCCATGTTTAGGATATTGAGAAACGTGTAGCTATGAAGGAGAGGAGGTATAAGCAGATGAAAAATTTAAGAGAAAAAAAAAACAACCAAAAAAAAAGAGGAAAAGCCACTAAATCTCAGGTAAAAGCCATCCAAATCTAAAAATAAAGGAAACGTCAAAACCTTATGTGCAAAGTAAATGTCAGTGTGAGCACAACTAATGCTAGGCCTAGACTGCCTGTTGATTTAGAATACCCCCCCAAAGTTAAAAAAAAATCCACCTGAATGTTCCATAAAACAAGAGATAATTTATTTCCAGTTGAAACCTTTCCCGTTCACATGGACATGGACTGCTGACACACAATGTCATAAACTACCAGCTGCAATTCTAGAGAATGATACAGTGTCCATACTTTCTCTTCCACCCTTCACGGAAAATGCTTGCTGAAGATGTGCCAGCAGTTCAGATGCAATCTGAGCAGCAGCAAACTCACACTGCTTGCCAGCTTGCAAACAGAGCAGACTCTCAGACCATTATCTTTATTTCAGCCAGCCAAATAAATCAGAAACTAGACACCAGGGGGTAAATTTCCAGCACTGTGTGTAATAGGTTTAAAGTCAGGATGTCCACGACCGTTAACCACAGTTGACTGTCTAACACACTGAGCTTGCTGCTGAAAGTTTACTCCTACAATAAACATCAACAGCCTAATCCTGCAGCCTTTTACTCAGCAAAATCCCCACTGGTTTTAGCGGGAGCTGCGCCTAAGGGAGCGTTGCAGCACTAGCACATGACAGACAGAAGAAGGTAATTTAAGTGAAACTTTAAGCAGGTGGCATATGTTCCATTCATTCATCACCAAGCACATCTCTTCCTGCCACAAAGGGCAACTTTGCCTTTACCACTGAAGCAAACACAAATTTCTCTTGTGCCAGACCCTCACCACCTCTTCTAACCAGGAACAATGCCCACATAGCCAAGAGGTATGTCAGTCCCTGTCTTTGGAGCTCATCATCTGAGTATCCAGTAAATTGTCTCCTATTATCCTGAGTTTTATGCCCTCATAAAGTGTTAGATAATTCCACTCCACTGCTGTCTGTTTGGGCTCTTTAAGGCTCTTCAATAGCCGAGACATTGTCCTGGGCAAAGCAAGTGCTTTAGCTAGAACTGCCACAGTGTTTAGCACTGCAGTTACTGCTGCCAGAAATGCTTTTTCACTGTATTATAAATTTGAGCTGGTGTCATGCCTTGTTCTCCAGTAGTATTTTTCAACAAAGTCTGAAATCCACCAATATAGCAGTGTTCCTGGAAGTTATTAATCATGCAAATTGTCCAAATGATTGCTATTCTACAATTAGTATTTCAGTAGGGACGGATAGAACAGAGCTCAAAATCCCTGCCCTCCTTCCTCTTTTTTTTTCCCCTTCCATATTGGTCTTGGTACAACATGTTCCTCAGAATATGGTCTTCAGTAGGAGCTTAAGTAGGTTTTTTGCATAATGCAGATCAACTAAAGAATGCTTCAGCCAGGTCTGCTGTAGAGTGTGTTTGTACAAAGATTGAATAATCATCCAAATCACAGAATGGTTTGGGTTGGAGGGGATCTACACACACACACTCTCACTCTGTTACGTACAGGATGAGAGAGGTCCCGGTTCTTTTCCTCAGACTGCATGATACGATTTCCTGTGTGGAATTGATTCATGCTTCAGGCAAAGGCACTGACTTTTTAAACTTTATAGATCAGGATAAAATGTAGCCTACCAGTACCATTGTCGGATGTTATAATGAGGGCTAAGACAGACTGTACAGCTATTTTTGAAAAGGAAAGTTTAGATTCTGAGAAATAGTCTAAAAATTGTTGTGTTCAAAAATCAGAGGCCCTGGGCACATATCTGGACTGTACCAATGCTGTGAGTGTACCTTTTATTGGTGGTGACGGGGATCCTCCAGCCTTTGATCTGGCTCAGCTCTGTGTCTGAGATCTCGATCTGCAGCGGGAGCCGCGGAACCCAGACCGTCACTTCTAATTGGGTGGTAAAATGCTGGTAAGTGAAGTTAACAATAGTATCCACTTTGCTTTTCATTTCCTTGCCATTAACGAAGATGGAGTCACATCTGTCAGAAACCTTAAAAAAGAAAAAGAGAAAAGATTAATTAGGAAATGAATAAAAGTTCCTAAGGAAACTCGAGGAATGATACATCAGTCCAAAGACAACACTGATAATGCAAGTCATGTATATTGTATTTTCAGTTTTCTAATTAGTAGCAAACAGTGATAAATGGACTCCAGGGAAACAGTTCTGCTTTCCTCAATGGATACTACTCAAACTACACAAATAATTTAATGATGTTATATAACCTATGTGAATCTTTTATACTAGGCAAATTAAACTCTTTATGAATCAAACTCCATGTGCATCAAAGTTTATGTTTACAACTTGCTTAAAGAACCTGGAAAAATGGGGCCATATGTTAGTAAGAAAAAGACTGAGTCAGAACCGTAAAACAGAATTCTTTCCTTTTTCCTTGAGCACTGTGATGCTGAAAGACAAAGATCCCCTTATGGCTCATGAGCAGAAGTGCAGCAGAAGCATTAATTTTTAGAACTCCTCAGTAATTGTTTTAGCAAAATGTATTCATAGTTGCTTTGTGTCATTATATGAAATTACTGCCAGAACTAGCGCGTGGGCTCTGTACTACAACTCATCTACCCTCTTGGTTTCAGGGATCCTTTGGCACAAAATCAAGGTCCTGAGCACAGATCCTGGTGATCTGAGGAGTGTGACATGGCAATGCATTTGACCGCATCCTGGAAAGAAGGAACTCCTTCTTCATGAGGTACAGGTTTATAATTTATTTATGAACGTGTGTGTGTATACTTTCAGATTACATAAATACATACACACATTTAGATTAATGTGTAACATGTTTATATATATGTATATACAGACTTATATATGTGCATGCATACGTACTCGTATCTGTATCTATATACAGGTTTGCATTCTGCTTTGAAGCCAGAGAGAGATGATAGTCTCCAACAGAGTCCATGTACTGTGATTTTAATCTTTTAAAACCATGGCTTACGAGATGTAGTTGTGTTCCTGAAATGGACTTTGTTCTCGTCAGGACTGCTCTGTGTCATGTTGTGTAACGCACTGGGACTCGGATCTGAAGGGATCCTGGCTAAGCCAGTGATTAAAGTCTGGTTTACTGGAGTTACTGAGATAACTCATGTAGACTTCAGTGCGGAATATGCTGAAACACAGGTTGGTTTTGCTCTGCAAACGTACCTCAAATCTTTTCTGATATTAAATGAAATTAGGGGTTACTGAGCCAAGAAGAAATACAGAAAATGTGTAGCAGCCTGTTTTCTTTTTTTTTCTCAAAGGCAGTCCTCACATATGACTTTCAAATTAAGTTTGCCCTCCTTTAAATCTCAGAATGACATCATGTTTTCTCTTGAGCTCTAACATTGTATATTGCTGTTAGATGGACAATACCTGAGTTCTAATATTATATGGAGCACATTTAATTAACAAAATTTTGCCTAAATGGCTCTTATAATGCTTTTAAGATTTATAAGAAACTTGCCTCTAAGAATCAGCTACTTCAGAACCAAAAGAAGCAGCAACCTTTATGCAGGTCATTCAGTGACAAATTTTATTTCCAAAATTACTGTGACATTGAAAATTGTGGCCACTCTCAATCCAAGTGTGGAAGGAGAAACATTTGGGAAACACTGTGCCAATTGACCTGGCAAATCCACTGAACATTGGCCATAGCAAATGACTGTTTCACACAGTGAGACCACGCAGCCAAACTTTTCAGATTGTCGTAATATAAACTTTTATAACATCACTGTACAACTGATGTCAGTCTTCTGTATTACTCATTAATAGGTGATAGCTTTGCTAAAAATATTGTAAAGTGCTTTGAAGTTCTTGTTAGAAAAGCTCTGATGCTTTTCTCTCCATATGCGATACCCATATATAAAGTAGAAGAGCTGCACTTCCACGTTCACCATTCCCAAGCCAGCTTCTCAGATCCTAATCAAGGTACTGAGAGTACTATCAATTGCTTTTTTACAACTGGTCTAAGCCAGGTTGTGAGAGATGGGGCAAAGGAAACTCAGTCACTCTTCTGGAGAGAGAATGCTCCTTCCACATAAATGCTTAATGAGTACAAGAATTTTTTAAAAAATAAATCTAGCTATCTGATAAAGAGCTTAAAATGGTCTCCAGGCTCAGGAGCACCACAAATGAGATGGAGCATACTCAGAATCTTTGTTTCCCTCTCATAATGTGTCACAAGTGTCTCTGGAAAGTTTAAGCACATTAATCAAGCCCATTAATTGAATGAGCAGCTGAGATTTTAAATCATAAAGTCTACATCTAGGGAGTTTTCTGAGAATTAATACAAGACAGAAATAATTAAGAAAACTCAAAGAGGGAGGGATAAACATCACGACTGAATCAGGGGAATAACTAATATCTGACATGACAGCAGCTAATATTTTAGATTCTCTTCTTGCTGCTTAAAATGTTCTTGTCTTCTTGTCAGCAGGCAAGAAAGGTGCTAAATTAGGGAACTGAAAGATGGACTTTAATTGTAGCTGTAAAAATATCAGGCTAGGCTTACAAATTTTGTAGATTATATGTCTAGACAGAGCCATTTATATACTGACCAAGAGGTACGTATAAATCGGTATATATTACTGTGCTATAGAAGTTCACCCAGTGGCTTTGTGTAGAGTTCAGGCTTAAGCGTATCTTCCAGAAAATAATCCAGCCGTGATAAGAAAACCAGAAGAGAGGCATTATTGTCATTCCAGTTCTCTCTCTGGAATTTAGGTTTACTCTGTTGGGTACAAGCAAACCAAATTATTTAAAGGAAAATTAAGTTTGTGCAAATAAGGATGAAAACCACAGCAGTCAGCTGAATCCATCTGAATCCCGTGAGCACTGCTAACCATCCTGGCTAGACTAAAGCTCACCTGAGGAAGACTGTTGCACTCACATGCGTTTACTTACTGCTGTGTTCCATTCACTACACCTTACAGCAGTTGTTACTTGAAAGTAGATTTGGTTCATCTGAAGGAAACAAGAAACTTGAGCATGTACAGAAAATGCCCAGCACTCCTGTTTCACTTGGCATCTACTAGAGACTCAGGACACAGGATTAATATAATCCAGGTCTTAGATGCGAGCTGGAATGTCATGCTAACAGCTCTAACACTCCTCCACAGTGAAGAGGGAATGAGCAACACACGCTGAGCTCTGGGGACTCGGTGCAAGCTGTATTCTCTGGCCCCTTCCCTTTCTCCCCTTTTGACTCTGCTCCATACTTTTCTAGTCACTCTCTGACTGGCAGAAGTAGCTCGTGAAGCTGGTGGAAGAGGAACTCATATGACGTGCTGCTGGACTTCAGGGAGTACAGGCCTGCTTACATCAGAAAGCGCTCAGGCTCGCCATGGGGCAAGCTCTGACACAGCAGAGAGACACAGGCAGAGTCACAGTAGCAGGTGACTTAATGCACAGACTTCTTTTGAGCTGCTGAATCTGACGGAACAAAGAGGGAAAATGCAGTCAAATCTCTCCTGCAAACACTACACAGTGAGAAGACTCAGCACAGACTTAGAGCTGCCACCCTCTCATATAAAATGCACAGAGCAGGCCTGTTTAAAAGTCTGTCGCTTTCCATTGGCAACTGCCTGACAAAATCAGAAAGGGTTATTTGAGACAGTTTGCAACCAGGAGGGCAGCCTGGCCGGTGATGTGCTCCGCTCTGCAGGTCAAGGGAAAGAGAACTGCAATTAACCTCTCCGGGCTTTGAAGCAGGTGATTGCCTCCAGTCCCCACAAGTGACTGTGAAAAGCACAGTTTGCCCTGTAGAGCCTGTCACAGCCGCCTCGGTTTAGACTAAACCTGTACAAAAGTAGCTACCAGTCCAAAAGAGTAATTGGGAAACCATTCCATGTTTGGGTCAACAAAGCTTTACACACCTTTTGGGTCAACAGGAAAAACAGAGGGAACATGAACTGCCAGGAAAACAAATAACACCTGCTGTGTGGTTCATCTTTACGTGCAGGTTTGATTCCAAAGCTCCTACTTTGCCCTCCGCCTGCAGGTCGTTTTGTTAGGAGACAGAATGAGACAGATGTAACAGAAACAGTCACAGTCCTTGTGCCCGGTAACCACTCAGGAGTTTTTCAGTTAAACAAGGCTTTGTTGCTGAATGCCTTCTTGGCACAACCATTTTTCCTCCATCACTCTCGTGTTGGAGGAGGGAGCATGATGGTTTCAAGAGAGGCCTATCTCTGGTCAGCAGCACTTCAGGGCTTCCCCAGCCTGTACTGCTGCTCCAAGCTCATTTCTCACCTTCAGACATACACATCTCACTGATCTTTACATGAATGGTGTGTGCCCACGCAGCTGCGTATGAAAATGTACAATGAATTTTAAAGGGAACACCTACGACCCAAAGGAATTAATTCTGTTAATTTGGTATGAAACAACAGTGACTGAATGATACAAGAGTGACACCAAGTACAATGCCAGACTGCCCTCTGGCACTCTTCATCTGTGAATTTTTGACACACAAACCCCAAAAGGATGGTGGTATTTTTACCACCCATTTATAGAAGAGGAAATTGAGGCACACGCAAGTGTGTGTCAGACTCGGGTCTAACACACCGTCTTTCCAGCTGAGAGCTGTAGCCCTTTGGTTATCCAGTCAGGTCCCCAAATGGCTTAAATTTGAAGCTCAAATTCACCCTTGAAAAGAAGTCCTTTTTACATTTACTTTCAAAAGAGCCTTCACCAGTACTTCAGCAGAACTGGCCTTTACAAGAGAGGGGTTTTACCTGGAGTCAAGATCTACTGGCATTTAAAAATACTTAAGTTTAATGGGAAAGATGTGCAGAGATCTTCAGTTTTGTAACCTGGTTTTTCAACAGCAAAACCCAACCTTATCCCAGTCCCTGCCTGAGACAAAAATATTTCTGATGTCCAGCATAGGAGGCAGAGCCCAGAACACACTCTGGCTGCAGCAGCCTATGTCCTGGGCAAACAGGCTCCCCCAGCCCTGGGCTCGGGAGCCAGAGTGCGTGTGGCAGAAGAGGTAG